GCTAACTGTTTAAAAGTCGAGAAAAACCAAAGCTTTCTTCACCACTTAGGGCCATGTGCCACCATTTACTGTGTATGGAGGTGGAGCATGGCTTGATTGAGCCACACCTTCATTGCAGCCACACCTTTACATTGCTGCAGCTAGCAGCAGTGCAGCAAATATGCTGGAGCTCTTTGCCAAAAAAAACAAAAAATTCTCTGTCTGTCTCAAAACATTCACTAAGTTTTAATAAATCTAGTACATGCTGAAGCTTCTTCTCTGTCTCAAAACTTTCACCAATTATTTTCTCTTAATTTATTGAAACTGTTACATACAGATTGTGTCGAGGGTACGCACTTTAGTGCTCTCGTTCATTCATTCATTCATTCTGTACAACTGAAATTTGTTTTTAATAAACAATAACTTTAGCACAGCGTGTTCTAAGCTCCTAGATCTTTCTTTTTGACGTGGAAAAGTCTTTCTTAACTGTTTTGTGTTGCTCAAATACAAGTGCTAGGTACAGAAGCTTCAAAGTAAGAAAATCGAGTAGTTGGGCCAAGTTCCGTTGTGTTGGCACTTTAGAGATAGCTGGTAACATTTTTCAGTAGATTAGAACATGGCCTTCAAAAATTATGAACAGATTTCTCTAAATCTTACTTGAAGAAGAGTTATACTTACTTGAAATTGTTGAGGTCACTCGTTTGTGCAGCGCTAGAGCAACAACTTGCTGGGTTATAGGTACTAAAGTACCTATATTATCTCAAATATACAAAGGCAGCAACTTTTTTTGTCAGCAAGTTTATCATATATTGCTGATTAGTAAAGAAAAAGTGAAGCTTCTTTCTCACATGGTCCTCTTGCTGCCACTCATTCCAGTCATGGAATGCCACACCTTTCAATCTACATGCATGGGAGGGGCTGGAGCTGCTTGCATGTATGTGCTGCAGTGCTGCTACTTCTGCAGGTATTCAAGAGCAAGTGCAACTGCAGGAAGCTAGTATTGAGCAGACTCTCTTCATGCTGATAATCAAACAGTTATTGAAGTGCGGGCATGCACCATAGCAGCTATAGGGCGAGGCCATGCACCGTAGGTGTCTCGTAATATAAGTAAATCTAGATCAAATAAAAAAAATTATAATTTAGATCTATATGTGGTCAATAAGTGGTAATTGAATCAGTGACTCATTAAAAGAACAACCCAGGCTACAAGTGGAAAACTATA